AAGCTGCTCCTAACATGCGTCAGAGGTGTCTCTCCTTACAGAGACTCTTGACTACCCAAGAAACTGAGAATAAGTGATGGTTGTGGGTTTAACCTTAAACAAGACATTTATACTACCTCCTCCAAGCCTCAGGGAACCTGAAGGAAGAGGGGTTAGAAAGTCCGCCAGAGCCAGAAGATAGGGTGAATGTTGTATAATGCTGTTCTCTAGAGTTGATATAGCCATTGCAGTCAGTTCACAGCTCTGTTATCTGCAGCGGGCCCACACAAGACCATGTATTTAAAGTGTATCAGCAGTCAATCAAGAAGGGATCGAGGCTCATGAGACTCTATCTTTTACTGCTGACCTACTAATAGATTTGAGGAGAGGGGAAAAGCATTGTCTTTATTTATGTACCTACTGCTGAGTCCACTGGGCTCCAATAGATAGACCCAGACACATGGTCACAGCGATGGGCCTGCTTCAATGATGTGATTCACAAAATAAGACATATATATGTGAGCATGAGAGTGATTTGTGGGGAGGAGGGACGTTGGACAGGAATCATAGGGAGATGGGAAAGAGTGGGGGAAGTGAGTGGTCAGTATATTCTATAAACATGTATGAAATTGCCTATGAATAAATTTAATTAAAAACAATCTATATGACTGTGTTGTCTATGTAAATTAAATTCTATTTAAATTAAGTCTATGTAAAAAAAGAAATTAGTGATACAGGACTACACACATGCATAAATAGGATTTATAGATTATCTATTAAACTAGAGAATATAATATTTGAAACAGCAATCATTGCTTTTTTCCTGCCATTGAAATCTTCCTTTTGTGCTGAAATTTCAAAATCTCAATAATTAGATACTCCCTCCAAATTGGTTATATAATATACACTTGAAATTTCTTGTTTTTGTTGAAGAAGATTATTTCTTAAAGGCTCAAACATTTTCTTTCTAATTTATTTAACTGGTATATGAATTCTTCTTTCAATAAGATAACTTAAATTCTTAAAAAAATATTTATCCTGTTATGACTAATGGAGTGATATGTTTGACACATAAGAACACTGTAGGAGGCCTGGAGAGATGGCTTAGTAGTTACTAGCATGTATTGCCCCCTTAGAAAATGCAATTTCAGTTCCCAGTACCCTTATCAGGCACCTGTAACTGCAGCTCCCAGTGATTCAATGCCCTCTTCTGGCCTCTGAGAGCACCTGCACTCATGTGCACATACTTCCCTGATGTAATTAAAAGTTACAAAAATAAATGCTTTAAAAAAGAATATGCTAAAACTGTTTATTTGAAAAACACTTGTTGATATCATATCTCCTCTTTAGTATCAGCAGTCATCAGAAGTGATAATGATAATAATACAAAATACTCATGATAAATCAATCATACTTGGGAAATGACCTATTTTAGGTCATACCATTTATTAGGAACATGGTATAACCACTGGTTCAATGACCAGAGAGTCAGATTTCCATCTCGATGGATAGAGCATAGACTATTCCAACCAGGGAAAGGCCAGATCAAGTTGATGTGTGAGGGTAGAGAGATGGAGACAATTGCTTATGGGGGGGAGTAGTGCTTAAAGGTGTTTGGTATTATTCATGGACCCATACTTCTCCATCAAAAAGATGAAAGATTCTTAATTTTGGAAATTGAACTGACTATAAAAATCAGGTGAACTCTTTAAGGGTGTGTTCCATGGTTTGCATGTCAAGGATGAAGTTTGGAGGAATGAAAGCCTGGGCGTGAGAATCATCTAGACAAGGTATTGAGTCCAGTCCTGCCTGCCATGTACCAGATGTGTGACTAGACCAGCATTGCCCATCTGTGAAACAGAGATAACAATAATAACTTTGTTAGAGGAAACCAGGATAAACATGTAGAAATAATTTAGTACAATTCCAGGAAAATAATGAATGCCAATAAAGACCGACTCTTCCAGTGGCAACCAACCTTATCAATCCCACAGCAGCTATGATTCCCTGCACCAGGGCTGTCAATAGTCAGTCATGAATGGAGAGGGGGTTCAGGTGACCCTGCCACTTCCTGGACAACTATTGGTTATTGATGGATCCTGAGAGAGGAGGAGGCAGGGTCTTTAGTTGTGTGCCCATTAGTGAGCTCTTCAGGTTCCAGTGGCTAGGTCTACACTCAGGGCCATAGTACTGCCCTGGCTAAACTCAAGTTCAGTGGGACACACACACACACAGACACACACACAGATATGATTATGGGCAAGGGGCTTGTAGGGAGTAGAGTTGACAAGGGTGGGAGAGAGACAGAGAGGGTGGAGAGTAATCAGAAAGCAACTTTATTTTAGTACTTATATTTTATAAACAGCAGATCACTAATAGTAAACGCTTTATAATAAATGGAAATTTCAAACGTGTCAGTGTATGAACAAAAATACCCACAGCAAATTTTGCATATCACTCCTGTAATCCACTTGAAGCTTATCGACCAAATCCAAGCCCATTAGTCCTTTTCTAATACGTTTGGGCTCAGCAGGAAACCCATAGATTTCTTTCTATTTGCTGACTTGTGACCATAGTGAAATCAAGCATATCTAGACGATGTTGAGTGGGAGGGGAGGGGTCCATTCTTCTACAGTACAAAGATTAACTCCTTGTACATGTGTACATGTATAAGGAATGGTACTGTTTTAGGACTTGTGTGGACTGCTGTGGGATGCTATGGTCAGTAGCCATGCATTATATTGAACATGGGAAAGCCAGCTAGAAGAGTGGAGGAAATGTTCTTTTTTGAACATAGTTATATTTGATGAATTTGAATTTAAATAGCCACATATGTAGAGTGTCTGGTGTGGTGGTGTGTTAGACTACATCAGATACCCGAGGTAACTTACAAAGAGAAACATTGATTTTGGCTTCTGGCTGTGAAAGTTACAGTCCACGATTGGCTGGCTGTTGCCTTTCAGCTTATGGGGAGGGGCACCACATGGTGGGAGGGAGGAAGTGGTCAAAGAAGGTACTCATGTCATGGGCAAGAAGCGGCAGAAATAAAGAGGAAGTGAATCCCACTTAATACTACACTTTCTGTGGCCGGGGGAAATCACTCAGTAAAATGCTTGCTGTGTGAGTCTGTGGACTTAAGTTGGATTTTCAGAAGCCATGTGAAAGAGCCTGGTGTGGTGGCATGGGCTTGTAATCTCAGGGGTGGGGGGAGATGGAGACAGGCAGATCCCTGAGGCTCACTGGCCAGCCAGCCTAGCCTAGTTAGTATGTGAGCTCCAAGCCAATGAGTGATGATGTCTCAAAACACAAGGTGAGTACGGAGTGAATGGCACCCGAGGAATGACAGCTGAGGTTTACCATTGTTTTCACATGCATCTGTACACATGTGCACACGCACACACTTGCAAAAGCACATGTGCATACTCCCCCCCTCACACACACATGCATTTCATATTACCTCACGGTCTTTCTTGAGACCCCACAGCTTAACGTTCCTACAGTCTTCAACAGTACCCCTGTATAGACCAAACTACCAAGAGTTAGTCCTTTGCTGTATACTTTCAAGCTAAACTATTGCATTTGGACAACACAGGCAAAACAAATCTCTTTTGTGTGTGTGTGTGTGTGTGTGTGTGTGTGTGTGTGTGTGAGAGAGAGAGAGAGAGAGAGAGAGAGAGAGAGAGAGAGAGAGAGAGAGAGAG